AAGCAGCTGGGAAGGGAGATTTTTGATTGGGAAATATTGAATTTTTTTAAGAAAATAATATATAATTTATACTGTAAATAACACATTATGACTTTAAAAATATTTGTTTGTAAAGTTGTATTGTTTGAGGCTTTGATTTTAATTTTAAAAATAGTACAGTAAACTTGAAGTTATATTTATGCGCAAAAAAACAAAAAAATTGACAAGAGATCTTACTCCTTACTGTTGTAAGTATATATATAACTTTGCAGATAAGTGAGAGCTATCTGAATTGAAGGCAACAATAGAAGTAAAATTGCTAATAGAAGGATGTTCAATGCTTTTGTTAATGAACAGTCCAACAAATGCTTGCATTGATCAATAAAATCACAAGTCATTGAAAGCTACATTGTTGGTTGGATTATAGAGTATAGTTTTTTTATTTTTTCGAAAAAGACTCTTCTAAATGACTAAATCTAATTTCATGCATCACTGTTCCATTCTGAATTAATAAAGAAGTATCTAAGATAAGTGCAGAAAACAAGCTCCATAAGTTTCCGATCACCCATAATGATGCAACCTTCACATTGCATGAGTTACTAGTGAGAAATCAAGTATAATCTCTGAAATACAGGATTACGCATCTATTTTATATTTTCTCTCTATTGACTTGAAAACAAATATGAGGATTGTATATTTCTTATACTTTTATTCTCATCTATTTAGATTTATACAATTTCCTTCATAGTATAGAATTGTATTTTTAGTTCGCAAGTCCTAACTATGAGGTTTTTACCTTTTGTTTAATATGAAATTTTCAATGATCGTAAACATTTAAACTTTATAATATGTTTCTATATGTTATTTTAAACCCTAATATATCTAGCAATTGTTTATTTACTTTTCCTATATTATTATTTAAAATTCTAATACATGCAAGCATTATTCTGCCTAGTACAATGAATTGTTATCAACTATTTATTTTGTTATGTAAACATGTGATGTTGTTTGTAGATTTTGTTATATGTATACATTTTGAAGATGAATAAAAATGAAAAGAAATTTGTAGACAAGTTACTCTTTATTTTTTTTATAAGTTGATTATAGTAGCTTTATGGTATATTTTAAATAAAAGAAATATGAATAGTCTCCAAAATTTAGATCTTGAGTTTGATTTATCACTACTCAACACTTGGGTTCAGTTCTCTGAAGATAAAGGCAATTACACCCTGTGCTTAAATGGTAGCCACATTAGTGGCCCTCATTATGCTTTGTGTGTAAAATTCCCATTGACAATGCTCATTTCCTTGAAGCACAATGCATCATTAATAAGGCACTAGCTGCGTAATGATCAGAAAAGGGAAAAGCCAAGCATTAAGCTTATGAAACATTCCAACCACACGTTTATAATTATTTGAAATGAGAAAAACAGATATTATATAAGTTTTGTTCCTTTCAAATTATTGCATCTTAGCCTTATATGTGGCAGTGGTAGTAACAATCCATATTCCTTCTTTAAAATTCTTAATCAGGATTACCTTCTTTGTGTTAGGACACTCTTTTTAGCCCTCATGAGTTTTTCACTAGGGAGGAAACCCTTTTCATATCTAGAGTTCATCTAAGGTTTCGTTTGGGACTGTTTTTTAGCTGCTTCTTAAATTAGCTTTTTAGTATGAAAATTAAAATTTTTATACTAGAAAGCTGTTTTAAGAAGCAATAAAAAAGTCGTCTCAAACGAAGCCTAAATCTCGAGAGATTTTCACCTTGGCTTTAAGTATTTCTCTAAAGACGTAAAGAACAAAGGGGCTCAACTATGGTGCATGAATACATTCAATATGTAATCATTGTAAATAAAAATCACACATTTAAAAAATATTTTCCATGACCAAGATTTTACTTCCAATTATCAAATCCTCATAACAACAATACTTATTGCATATCGCATTTCATGACCATCATGATGCCGCGAAAAAGGAGGAAATGGGTAAATGCATATAAGAACTTATTCAAAGAACATGGGTAGAACATTTAGAATCCCTTCTAATCTTAAAATATAGAAGATCACTGCTACTTGAGGGGTTTTTCTCCTATTTCTCATGTGCCTTTTGTACTAAACTATAATACATAAGAGACTCTTAATAAAATTCCTTTGGTATTACCTTATCATGAATACTCTTAGTCTTGTTAATTACAAGTTATTAGATTAGCTAAAGAATAGTTTAAGCAACTTAAAGCTCAAAAAAGGAGCCAACTTTGAGACTTTGGAGGGCTCTTAGAATTCATTATCTCATTGATAAACTAAGGTTTTTTTTTGGAACGGTTTTTTTTATTGCTTCTTAAAGCGGAGTTTTAGGCTTTATTTGGGACGGCTTTTTTATTGATTATTAAAATGAAGTTTTAGTACAAAATTTTAAGAATTTTAGTATAAAATTTTTAATTTTTTAACTAAAACTTCATTTTAAGAAGTAATAAAAAGCCATCCCAAATGAAGCCTTAGTTAAAAAATTAAAAATTTTGTACTAAAATTTCGTTTTAAGAAGCAATAAAAAAGCCGTCCTAAACGAAGCTTAAGTAATACTTTGCACATCAACAATTCATTGAGATCAACTCTTTGATTTCCTTTTATAAATAAAATATTCTCTTAGCCCATTGTTAAAATATTGAGAGTTTCCATGTTGTTTGACATCAACCAAAGCAATTAAATAAAAAATTTGCCAAGATTCGTACTATTGATTTAATAATAAGGGATAGTAGGTCATGAAGGTGTAAACCATCTATATATTCCATTGAGTTAGCTCTCATATATCTTCCTTCATCTTCTTGAAATCTTACTATGGAGAAAATCTTAGATATCTATTTTTTTTTTTTGTCTCAAAAGAGAAAAGTTCTTTACAAATGCAGCCAAGTTTTGAAGATGTTAAATTTTTGTCATATTCATTTTATTATCCACTCCCATTTCTCTTTAATGACTTGAAAGCAAATATTATGATTTTATATTTCTTATACTTTTATTCTCATCTATTAAGATGTATACAATTTCCTTCATAGTATAGAATTGTATTTTTAGTTTGTAAGTTCTAATTATGAGGTTTTTACCTTTTGTTTAATATGAAATTTTCAGTTGTTATAAACATTTAGACTTTATAATATGTTTCTCTCTTTTTAATTAAATGCAATAATTTCTATGATAAATTTAATTTACATAATTTAATTTGCCAATTTTTAATTTAATCATAGATCATCCCATTTTTAATTATAAGGAGCAACGCTTTTTAATCACTCAATTGAATTTTAAATATATATAAATAGGAGCAATTCGAGTTTTTTTTAATGAAAATCTTGATTTAAAATATTGAATTTCTTAATTTAAAAGTATATTTAAATTTTGAATCACTCCGTTTCAAAGGATGAACTTGCATGATTCAACATATAAATTTAGGTGAGCATCAGAGGGTCCAATAATATGAGAAGGAGAAAAGGCCACACGAGCATCTCTAGCTAGGGAAGAATTATTAGGTCATCTGACCGAATGTTCCTGGCTAGGTGGAGACATTTACATTAGGATGATGTGCGAAGGCGAGAAGTTAGCCGATGGAGTTTTTTGGGAAAGACATCATGGAATGATGTTGTGTTTTAGAAAAAATGAGTGCTTGTTGGTGGCAGGCTTTACAAAGCTCTTTGTGGAAGGCATCTTAGAGCCAACCATATGGAACGCATTGGGAAAAGGCTAAGGTTTTTTTTGGGACAGTTTTCTTACTGCTTTATTAAGTTGTTTTATATTACAAAATTTTAAATTTTTGTACTAGATAACAACTTTAAGAATTGTCAAAAATAATTTTAAGAAGCAATAAGAAAGTAGTCCCAAACGAAACCTAAATAACATCATGAGATTGACATGTGCAAAAATATTTGGACAAAGGGATTGTCGCACTGAAACATAATTTGAACTAAAACTTGATAGCGGATCAAATTTGAACCAAGACTTACTTTGTATGTGATTTACTTAAAAAAATGTCAAAAAATATAAAATGGAAATAATTCTATTCAATATGAGCTATCAATTATTTTTTTTAAGAAAATAATTTTTTTTATAATTATGTATAATATAAGATAAAAAATCAAATTTCACTTTCCGGTAAATTCATTGGACTTTCGCTATGATAGGCCATCTTGGCCGAAATAATCGGCGAAACCATATGATTTCGGTTAGAGGGACTCGCATTTGCCCCATCATAAATTGGTCTCTTTGTTTCTTTTCTTCAACTTTCGGCAAAAGCAGCTAGATCTTCCTTCCTAGCATTCAAGGGACTCGCATTCGCTTCTTCGGCTCCTTCGTGGCTGTTCGACTTCGCTCCTTCGACTACTTTCCCTTGCTGTCGGATCGGAAGTTAGGACATTTGATCGGAAGCAAGAACGGGAGCTCGTTGGCTGTGAAGGTAACTTTCTCCCTTTCGCGCGCTTCTTCGGCTAAATCCCATTAAAAATCCGCCGAACCGAGAGATTTAAGCCGTAAATCCGTAAATCGGGATTCCCTACCGTTTGGCTGGATTTAGCGTAAATCCGACTTAAATCCCAGGATAAATCCGATTCCAAACAGCCCCTAAGGAGTTTGACGGCATAGAGGGTCCAACAATTACGCTTCTCTTGGGCCTGCGTAGGGCTTGCTTAACCTCTTCTCCCTTTCTTCTTCGATTGCTTCGCTTGAGGCAAAGTTGTGAACGGACCTTTGCTTCCGTCTACGATGTTCCTTCCTGTAGGATCGTAAGTCACGTCGGATCGCCGTTCTTCTGGTTTGATCGGAAGTAACGACGGGAGCTTGCTTTCTGCGAAGGTGACCATCTTTCTCCCCTCTCTCGCGCTTCTTCCACCTAATCCCGTAAATCCACCGAACTCCCGTATTTGTAAATCCAGGATTTAATATTAATTTACTCAATTAAACTAGCAGTGATAACTTAAGAGGCCCGTAGAGTTTGTCTTTCATCTTCTCTTTTCATCGTTGCTGTTCGGTTTCGTTGCTTCGCAGGTGTACAGATTGCACGCTTCAATTCTACTGCTCCTTCGTGGCTGTTCGACTTGGCTCCTTCGACGACTTTCCCTTCCTGTCGGATCGGAAGTTAGGACATTTTTGATCGGATGCAACAACGGGAGCTCGCTGGCTTTGAAGGTAACTTTCTCCATTGCGTGCTCTTCTCCGGCCAAATCCCGTAAATCTCGTTAAATCCGGGAAAGGACGGGATTAAGATTTACACGGATTTACTAGGATTTATGCCTTAAATCCGGGAATTCGAAGGATTTACAGATGAGCAGAACGCGTTTGGTTGGATTTATGTTAAATCCTACTTAAAACTACACCTAAATCCGATACCAAACACCCCCGAAGGATTTATTAGATTTTAGATTTCCATTTTTTGTGTTCGGCAGGATTTACCATAAATACTTTGCTCATATCCTGCATAAATCCTGTATCAAACAGCCCTTGGTGTTTCTTTTACTTTAGAGTAAAGAGGCTTTGCAAGAATTTTTTTGTTTTTTTGTAGATCTTGTTGGGGATTGTCAAAGAGATCTAAACAATGATAGATTTCTTTGAATGTTCATTTTGGACATAAAAATGCTCAATTAGTAGGCTATTGCGCACTCTTAAAAGGGTTCATGCTTAAGCAAATGTTTTGATAGCCTTTGCACACAACCTCCTTCATCATCCTGTTATCATTTTGGGGCCTCAAACAGTGATCTGGGTTATATCCCTTGTAATGATGAAGCTTTCCCCTTATTGGCAGTCCTCTAAAAATTTTAGTACCCTTTATGAAAGCCATGTCAATTGAATTCCATAAGTTGTGTGGAAAGAGTAGTTTGAACTAGCACATAACTAACTAAGAATGTTTTAGTATGCTTTATCATGGTAACAATCATTTTATGATGTTTCTTTTGTTAGCATCCTTTCTTATACATTTTGAGTTGAGTGAATTGATTCTAATAGTGTATATTTGTCATAAATGTCAGATGTAAGTGTTGAGACTATCATTATGATATTTTGAATTTTGATGTTGTTTTAGGTATTTTATTTTCAAATTTTTGGTTTATTTTTGTTGTAATATGCTTATGATGTGATGCTTATGAGAGCTGAATATCTCCTTTGGTTGTTGATTCCTTGATCAGTTTGGTGTATTGCTTAGATCGCAAGCATGTTTATTTGCTTCATTGGATTTCTTAGCTTAGTAGTTTTCGATTATCTATTCAGCACATGGTTTGTTCTTTCTGTCCAACCATTAATTTGGAAGTTTACTGTTCTTGAATGCTATTTAATGGTATCGTGGTTTTTAGTTTTCTTCCATTGCCATTATTTACTTGTGTTTCAGGGGCTGCCTTGTTTTCTTCTTGAATTTGCTTTGTGGAAGAGATTTGATCCTTGGTCTTGTTATTGTTTATTTGTGTTACACATGTTAACTTATTTCCTTCCTGGTCATACACTGAATAGAGTCAAGATTCTCTACTTTTTCCTCTGCATGACTATGCTATTATAGCTAGATGCATGATATTGTGGTTGTGAACGTTTTATTACTCGTTGTTTGTTTCTTTATTCTCTTGCCTTGACATTATAACAAATCCATGTAATGCTACCTTTGCTTAGTTTGTAATTGGGATGGTGCTGATTTGGTTGTAATACAAGATTGTTGAATCGAGGACTTGGTATTTTTTAGCTAGATATTTGGGATTGTGAGAAACTGCCAATTTTAGGTCTATTTGGGTTATAAGTTGGGCCTTTGATGTATAAAAAAAAAAAAAAAAAAATCCAAGTTTGCCACAATTATTTCTCTCAAACTTGTGTCTGCTTTTGTAAGCATTTCTTTGAGTTCGTGCAAGTCTTGAATGATAAATTCTAGGGAAAACTTATTCTTATATGAACATAAGGCTTGGATTTTTTGGTGCTTCTAATATTGCACATTTTTTCCAATATACTTTATGATTGATTTTGTGTATGCGATTGAGATTTGTTCTATTATTTTGAATATTATTTTTAAGACTAAAAATTTGCCAATAAGTGGAGAAGGGGAGCCTGTTGGTTTCTATTTTTAAGAGTAACGATGATGCATAAGAGCGTGCGAATGATAAGGAGTTAAGTTAATGTGTCATATATTAAAATTATGGTAGAGGGTAATTATGCATAGGTTACGACGTGATACTAATGTTTCTCAAAATCTATTTGGATTCATGTCGGATAGGTCTGCTATGAAAGCTATACATTTGTTGAGAGACTTGATGGAGAAGTATAGTGAGAGTAAAGAGGATCTACATATTATGTTTATTAATTCAGAGAAAGCATATGATAAAGTTCGAAGAAAGGGGTCTGGAGAGTTTTAGAAAAGGAATGAGTTAATAATACTTATATTTAAATCATTAAGGATATCTAAACAAGAGCTATTACTTATGTTCAAATATCATGTAGTTTGACCAAGTATTTCCTATTTCAGTTGTTACATCACAAATCAACTTTACGCCCATATCTTTTTGCTTTAGTCATGAATGTTCTTATTAGACATTTGCAAGAGTATATACCTTGGTGTATACTTTTTGCTAATGATATTCTTCTTGTTGATAAGACTAGTGAGGGAGTTGAAAGAAAACTTGAATTATGAAGGTCAACTGTAGAGTCTAAATTTTTGTTTGATTAGATCTAAAACTAAATACATGTAGTATAATTTTAGTAGTGATTGATCTTGTAGTGGGATTGTGAAATTTGGAGATCAAGTCATTAAAAGAGTACACATTTTAGATATTTTTTGTCTTTTATTCAAAGTAATGGTGAAATAGATGGGGGTATTATTAGTAGAATTTAAGTTGAATAGTTGAAGTGGAGGAATGCATCAGGCCTAAGGGAAAATTTTATAAGATTTTGGAATCTGCAATGCTTTATGATGTAGAATGTTGGCCATTAAAATAGAAACATAATATCAAGTTAAGGTTGTAGAGATGAGGATGCTTAGGTGGATGAGTGACTTTACACTTAGAGATAGAAAGCGAAACAAGTAAGCCCGTGAAAAGGTTGGAGTAGCTCCAATGGTGAGAGAGAGTTACCTTAGATGATTTGGTCACATGAAATAGTCTTCTGATGACCCGGTTAGGAGAGTATATGTATTAGATCCGGTCTATATTATGAATGATAGAGGTAGACCTAAAATGTTTGGCGGGAAAGTATTTGAAATGACTTTTTTTTTTAATTAGATTTAAATGAGAATTTGACTTTTAATAGGACACAATGGAGATAAATGATTCATGTAACCAATCTCACGTAGTGGGATAAATGCTTGATATTGTTATTGTTGTTTTTGTTGATTGAGATTTGGTCTAGTATGTTGCATTATAGGTTGTTGTTTTTGTATTAGAGCTTATGATCGCTTCATTATGTCAAGTACAAGTAGGACCTACCAATAGGTCATTCAAAAATATAATTTGAAAGATTTGGAGAGATTTTTAAAGTAGATTGATTATTTGAAGGACTTCTTTAATCATATATCCTCTATTTGATTTAAGATCTTGAAGTCATTAAAATGAAATTAGTGTTGCATGCGTAGTACTCTTAAGTAGTGTTGCAAGTTAAACAAGATCAATGTAAGCTGATGTGAAACATGAAGCTAAAGCTAAAGTGTAAATTTTGTCATTCAAAGCATATAGGAACCAACCATATGATCCGGTTAGGAAAGTAGAGGTATTAGATTTGACTTATGTTAAGAAAGGTAGAGGTTTACTAAAAAGGGTTGGTTAGAAAATATTTGAAATGATCATTCTTCATTAGATTTAAACGAGAATTTGACTTTTAACAAGACACAATGGAGAACAAAGGATTCATGTAGCCGAGCACACGTAGTGGGACAAAAGGCTTGATGTTGTTGTTGTAAAGCATATAGGAACCAACCATATGATCAAATTAAGAGTTATATCGTGTAAACAATGCAATCCAGTGTATTTAGACATTGCTGTAGAAAATTGAATATACCTTTGAATGTGAACATGAACTTCTAAAATATACTGAATTTATTTTTGAATGTGAGTAAACAAATTATGTCTGTAAAAGGTAATAAACCACTTGGAGAGCATGATTTAATCTTAATTAAATTTTTTCTACAATTCTAACTAAATTAGTCTATATTGGTTCATTGATGTCCAAATGCATGAAAATAATGTTATGTAGGATATTAGGTTGTATCAATATCTCAAATTATTTAGTAATTTCTAATAGTACTTGTCTTAAAAATGCATGAAATTTAAATTTTATTTATCTAGTTAGGGGTTCGTTTGGGATGCTTGTAACTGTTTGTAAAAATAATTGTGGAATTGTTATAATAAAAACATTTTTTAAGGTGCTGTGACTAGTACATTTTTTTTCCTTTCATTTTGAAAATTTTGGACAGCTTTTTTTAAAGTGACCACACTTTATTAGATATATTTTAAGAAGTTACCCTAAAAATTTCTAAGAACAATAAGAAAGTTATCGCTAAACAGAACTATATGAATGGTATGAAAGCAAAGTAGTGACAAGCCGCGTCAAACCAAGCCTTATTTTAAATCATCACTATTGATCTTTAATTAATTAAGGATATTAGGTTATATGTTTATATAGACATAATATTTGTATGATTTTTTTGCTTTTAAAATTTTGTATCATCTTGTCTCCTACAATTTAATTATGGATCTCTATTAGTATTTTGTAGGACGCATAGCGTTATATTACTATATTATTTAATTGCTTGATTCACATATTTTGCCTAAAGATATTTTGATCCAAGAAATTAATGTTTTTTAGTAGAAGAACTAGGCAAATACAGAGGAGGAAGATATTGCTTTCTCGAATCCCCTTTCTCTCTTTGATTATCTAATTCCTCCATGTTTCTTTGTGAGAACTCTCTCTTAATTTTTTTATGTCCAATTTGATTGATCCCTCCTTTGCTCTCTCTCCTTTGACTTTCCTTTAGAATTACAATGAATATTAGTTGCATTAAAATGCAAGAAATATTATTACAAGAAATCATGATTATAAGTTATGAGAAAACGATACTAATTTTGGCATTGATTTTGTATTCCATTGGAGCCAAACTGACAGTACAATTGCTCAACAACAATCTTCTTTACCCTAATTGTTCTTAGCTATTGGGTTAATTTTTTTTTAAACAGTTTGTGAGTTCCGTCTTCCCTTGTCAATTCTCTCAGCTTCAATAGGTTTCTCTGAGTAGTGTTATAGTCCTCTCAACTTATATTTCATGCACCTTCTTAGTAAGTCAACTGATTTACATCCCTTCCTTAAAAGCTGGTTCGCTCTAATGAATCAAGCTGAAGGAGTGGGGCAATTCAATTATTCTCTCTTATGTTGAGAAAATCACATTTATTTTATTAACAATACGATCATCTATGGTCGAGAAAACATATTAACCATCTTGCTCTCCACTACCTTCTAGTGCCTGATGACTTAGTTTAACTGCTATAAGTATTTCAAGGACTTTCTATGTTGCAATTATTAAATTTTTTGATTGTGTGTAGAGGTATTGAAGTTGCTTGTGGTTTGTATGAACATTGGTTTGTTTGTTTTAGTAAATAAGATCACCAGTGCTTTAGTGCTCGACGAGTCACCCAAAATTCCTTATCATACGTTGGGTAGTTCTTCTAAAGACCTTTTAGCAACTTAGACTCACATGCTACAAGTCTGCTTTTTACATCATAACCACATCTATTGCATATCCAGAAGCATCAACCTGGCTTGGATCTATTGGGTGAACAACCCTTATCCTCATCAAGGTCAAGTGTTGTACAGATCTCTTTCCTATTCGGCAATGCCATCATGGAAATGCTCGAGTCTGGTTGATTTACTGACTCTAATGTTTGATTTTTGTCCATTGCAGTGGTCATCTTCTTTCCCTTGATATCTCATATAAATTTCTCATGGAGGCAGGAAGAGCTCTAGATATAGTTTCCAACTCTTTGCTTTTTAATGTCATAACATCTAGCAATGGTCAAAATATTGGTTATTTTTAGAAGAGGTTATTATGGAATTATCTTTATTAAAACTGTTTTGGTTCCACTTCTTTTTCTTGGCAACTTTTAATTCCCCTCCTTATCATTAGAGGGATTTCTTCCTTGGGCTTTGGTATTTTTGTTAATGGCAATGAAAAATATGTTTTCCTTATTGGGATCTTTGACGTGGATAAGTATAAGCAATGTTTAAAATTGCGTATTCGGGTATTGAGGCATTTTTCATTCGTGAGGCGAGGCGTGAGGCGAGGCGTAAGCCTCAAAATCAAAATATTGCGTAAACATAAAATGATAATTTTTTATATATTAATGAGTGAATAATATAAAACATAAAAAAGAATAAGATATGAAGTGAAATCAAAATATCCTAATAATAAGACAACATGAAATATAGTTCAACTCAAAATTTTATCTTTCCCAAATCCCAGTATTCTTTTTATTAACATATAATTCTAATTTCCAGAAATAAATAGCAATGACATATCACATAAGAACTCATAAGTCATCAGCATTGTCATCACTAAGGGGTTCTTCATTTGAATTGTCATTATGATGAACTGATCTCTCTCCTTCCTCCTCTCCTATATAGTCCAATGTTGGGCATTTACTTCAAGATTTATGTAAGTTTTAATATATATAGCATAAGGCGTAAGCCTCATATCAGTAAGGCGAGGCGGGCCCCAAGGCGGGCCCCAAGGCGGGCCTCAACCAAATTGAGGCTCAAGCCTCATAAAAAAAACTCGAGGCATAAGCATCGAGGCGTTTTTTACTGGAATTGCACAAAGGCGGGCCTCGAGGCGAGCCTCATATTGCGCAATTTTAAACCCATGAGTATAAGTTCATGGAAATGCTATAATGCAAGTTGGCCATATGTTATGTTAACACAATGACGTATTTTAGTCAACTTCTTGGATTGTGCGAAGTTAAAATTGCAACTTTTATTGGTTTAGACATAAGGCCCTAGAGCATGTGAAAATCCATTTCATTTTTAATAGAATTAATGTCTTTTCAAACTAATGTTATTGTATGTGATTTTCTTGAGTGCGACATGTCTTGATGACAAATTTATGAGGAAGTTTCATGTTGTGCTGATTCAATACCTAAATTATCTTTAGTGTGTTTAATTGTTGGTCAGTTTTTTTATTCATCTATTTCGTGATTCGTCTTTCTTGTGTGATTGAGATTTGTTTATGCTATGATTGTTTTTTATTTTTTGTGATGTGAATCCTTTTAATTGTGTTTTTATTTCATTCTCACATTTCTTGTTATATTTTAGATTTTAAATGACCGTTAATTTATCATGCGGAGTGAGTTTAATGTATTCATATTTTGCATAAAAAGGGAGCAAATATCAGCTTAATTGAGAGCCAGACTATTAATTTTGATCTTTTGTGTGTTTATTTTACATATTCCATCCTATTTCTGGTTTTGGAATCTCTAAGGTGTATTGCATTAATAAGCCTTGATACATGTTGCTAGTTCTGATTTAGAAGAACTTAGAAGTGAATCCTCCTCTAGTTGATATGCTATAAGCGATCCCAATTAATGCTTTCTTTTTACGTTATTTTCATTGAGAAAGTTGTAGTTGCATTGAGATTCTCTTCTTTAGATAAATCCTTATATAGTTTTCATTGAGAAAGGTGATTTGTATGAAGATTCTCTTCTTTATTTAAATCTTTTAAATATATTGCTTATTGATTAATCCAAAAGAACTTTGGAGTATCAAATTAGCTCATGACTTGTGATTTTATGTTATTTTGTTAAAACATAAGGTTTCAAGGCTTTTTTTTTTGCTCTGACGGCATTTACTTTCTTTCATCTGATATGTATTTAGTGTTAATTTTATGTTATTTAGCTAAAACATAAGGTTTTAAGGCATTTCTTTTTTTTCTTTAACGGCATTTACTTACTAGCAAATGATATGTATTTAGTGTCATTTGATAATTTGTTTTGTATGTTTTCTTTGAACTTGTTGAGAGTTATTATAAAATGTACTGACCCATCTATCTTTTGATAGCCCCATACAACTTTGTTCATGTCATATCCATATCTATGAAAGGTAGATATGTGCGTTAGAGCTTTATTGATATATTTAGACATTTGGTGGGGAACTAAGTTGAAAAGGGCAGCACCCTTACGATTGTAATGAGAGAGATATAGCATTTTCTTGTGTACTCACATGGATATTTGTTATAGTCCTCAACAAAATTAATTTTTGAAACATGTTTTTCAAAATTAATTTTATTATTCCTACTTTTTATCTCGCATTCTCAACTTAATATGTACCCTTGTAAACAGTATGCTTTTATATTCCTTTTTCTGGCACATATTTTGATAAGGAAAATGTTATGAGTGATTGATTTTATGCTTGGAATGAATATCAACTGTATCAACTAAGAAATATTGTTGTGATGCTTTCATCCATTGTCTTTACTGGAGTTTTTTCTCTTTTTTATTTTTGGGTTAACTTCATGCTCTTCTTCTATTTTTTTTCTTTATTTTCTTTACATCACACTATGCTCATATTTTGTTTTTCATTGTTCTCTCTATTTTTAAGGTGCTTAACACTGAACTTTATAGTACATTGCTTTATGTTGATCACCAAAAATTAAGCAGTTTCTTACTAGTTTGCTTGCTTCATATATGATTAGACACTGCTTTTAAGAAGTTTATGCCAGTAGACTTGGTTATCATATTTAATTCGTTGTTACTTACTGCACATCTGAGTACATATAGAGCACAATTATGGGTAAAATGAAGGGAGCTTATTCTTAAATTCGTGCATGTCATGTTGTTGACAGATATGGGGGATAATAGTTGTTCTACTCAACTAATTGATGGAGATGGCGTATATAACGTCTCTGGAATGGAGAATTTCATGAAGACCGTGAAACTTGGTGAATGTGGTCTTTCATATGCTGTCGTCTCCATAATGGGTCCTCAAAGCAGTGGTATGTTGTTTGGTTGGTTCTTTAGATTATTTTTTCTATTTTTTGTTCCTTTTCTGAAAGTAACACTTCAAAATTTCTTAGGCATGACATATTATTATTAATTGAATGTCTTTAGATTCTTCACTTTAATTTCAAGAATCACTATTTTCTTTGGTTATATGCGTAGATGAAGCTAGCGGCATTGTGAATAGCATCCCTTAAGAACTTAGCATACTTCATGTCATTTTTGACACAGAACAAATGCATAATAATTTTTCATTTATAATATTTGGCCCTGGTCAATTATCATGTACGTATAAGATAGCCAATAACAAAACTCTGACTTTATATCTGATATTTCAAGAAGATAGAGCCAATCAACTTCCTTCAAAACTTACCCATATTTCAAAAATGGGTTTAAATTGGGCTCAGATTTTGGTTCAACTCACCCATGATGCGATTATGCAAGCCATTGTACTTTCTTTTATTTGTGCTGCTTTTTATTTTGATGAGCACTTGTATGGATGCATAAATTGCATGATTGTATCTATTCTATGTGATTAGATATGATTTTTTTAATCTGTCTTTTTTCCTTTTTGATCACTTAGGTGCTCTTTTCTTGAGAAGTCTCAAAATTTTGACAAAGCATGGCATAAGTTTTTTTTTTATATCTGCCTTCTTAAGATATAATTCTTTTTTATAACTTCTTGTGTACATGCATATATCAATGGTTTCTAGGAACTTGTGGGCCACAAAACACAATAATAATATGAAGTAAGTATTCGCATTATGACAGATGCAGAGCAACACAAATAACTTTTGATGAATAGATGGTAACATGCAGGTTGGACAGTTGACCTGCCTTTGAATGAAAGCAGCCTCAATCACTTGTGTCGCATTATTTTTTTATTATGATCTAGTTATAAAATCTAGATGTTAGCCCTAGAGCCATGGTTAGTTGCCTCCATTGTGAGTTGAGCCATTGAAATTGTCTTTTTGCAAATATAAGGGTAAGTTTGTGTATATGAATCCAAAGCTCAGACTGCGAGAGCTACATGGATACATCATTTAGTTTTGAAACTTGTTGATTGTTGCTTTGGGTGCATTTATTTAAATGTCAATACCTGTGCCATGCAATAACTTTTGCTATTGTTTAGTATTGTTTTTGACAAATATTGACTGGAGGGTTATGGCATTCAGTTTTTTTAGATCTGTACAGAAAGTATAAATTTTGAATTTTCACTATTTCGATAGGGAAGAGCACTCTCTTGAACCATCTTTTCCATACCAACTTCAGAGAGATGGATGCATTTAAGGGGAGGCAAGTTCTTAGCTTCTTTTGATAAAATTAAATGTATTTTTTATGTGAATAGATCCTTATATTATTATTATTATTTTTTGTACTTCAGGTCTCAAACTACTAAAGGAATTTGGCTGGCAAGGTGTGTGGACATTGAACCTTGTACTATTATCATGGATTTGGAGGGTTCTGATGGAAGAGAGCGAGGAGAGGTAGCTTTAAGATTTGACTCTTTTGAGCATAATTTTTTTTTTCAAATGAACTTAAAAATCATTCGTTTTAGTATCATTTTTTATTTTTACTTTTGAATGTTCAATGTGCTAATTACACACGATTTAAATCTTTCTTAATGATTTATATGTTCGCATTTTTCAAATCTTCCTACAATATTTGTTCACCATAGATATGCAAACCTGTCTGTTCCTAAAAATCAAAACAAAGTGTATCAACGAGCTTTGGCGTTTTTACAATTTTATAAGCAAAGTAAAATATTAATCAATGTCAAATAATTGACAAAGCTGACGCACAATCATAATGTGCTAAACTTGGTTATATATAATATGTGAATTTGTTAGTTTTAGATATGTACAGAATAAGGCACCTTATGCCACTGAAAGAAGAATTTTACTTTATTAGTTCATTTCGACCTTGGATTTATGTTGAAAATACTGCACGTATGTCAAATTATGTGTCACATTGTGGAAATGTTAAATTGAATGAAATTGCGAAGTCTAAATAAAAATCGTAGCTAGCATTATGGGCTAGCTTCTCATGCAAGCAGTAAAAACTTACTTTACTATGTTTCTAATGTCTGCTGTGCATGGTGCATCTAAATTGCTCCCACCATCTTGCAGTTAAACACTTAACTTGTAATATTGATTTTTATCCTTTTTTCAGGATGATACTGCATTTGAGAAGCAGAGTGCTCTTTTTGCTTTAGCAGTTTCAGATATAGTTTTGATAAATATGTAAGCCTTCTGATCTATTTATTTTATTTGATGAGGCATCAATGATTATTTTTTAATGATCTTACTACAGGTGGTGTCATGATATTGGACGTGAGCAGGCTGCTAACAAACCTCTTTTAAAAACTGTATTCCAAGTAAGCACGGGCTCTTTCTCTAATGGAACGGTATTATTTGCTGTAGTTTTTACCTGAAGTTACCTTTTTGCTTTTCTTAACAGGTCATGATGCGGTTATTTAGTCCTCGTAAAACAACCTTACTATTTGTCATACGTGACAAGACTAAAGTAAGTGATATTTAATTATTTTGGTGGTTTATATGATATGATCTTTATGGATGCTTATTATGATATTTAGAAAAAGTTTTTTTTTTCCTCTTCTGTTTGGAAATACTGAGCATGTTTGTCTTTACATGGGTAGACCCCTCTGGAAAACTTGGAACCTATTTTGAGGGAAGATATTCAAAAGGTATGTGCTATTTGTTGCTTGTCTTATATTTTATGTATTCATTATATTATTTATTGTTGAGCATGCTTTTAATTTTTTTGGTTACAGATTTGGGATTCTGTTCAAAAACCGATAGAGCATAAAAATACTCCACTTAGTGAATTTTTTAATGTAAGTTGCAAAAACATTGATATAATATCTTCTTTCTCTTCTAATGAATATAATGTATTTCTTTCTTAATTTTGATCTATTTCAAACCATAGGTAGAAGTTGTTGCCCTTTCAAGTTTTGAAGAAAAGGAAGAATATTTCAAGGAGCAGGTAAATTTTCATTTTATTATTGCATTTTAAAGCCTCCGTTTCTGATTCATTTTTTTGGTCTTGTGGAATGGGGTTTCTTTATCAAAATATGCCTGTGCCTTGTACCTTGTTTCTTGTGATCATCATGACCATCATGAACTGTGAGATAGTTGGTACTGAGCATCCTAACCAAGTCATCCATTTGGAGAACCCCAATTGTGCGGGTCTAGGAAAAAATCTTGGCTCTACTTCAGCATAGAAGCAGGGGACCACACCTTCCAACTTGTCATATGCTTGGAATGTACCAGGCCAAAGGATTTAGCTCGAGCATTATCACATACTCATGCACCTATTGTAATTCTAAATTTTTGGTCAATGCCACTACCCTTCGCCTGTAGATGCTTACGGGTAAATGCAATGGCACTGCTTATTTTGTTACCTAGGTGTAACCTAAAAAGGTTGTGAATAGATCATGGAACATCTTTAAAAGATTTTGGTCGAAGAAAATTAGAAAGAGTTGATTTTTAGTAGTTCTTTGGAACTTCTGCGAATGTAATTTGATCTAAATGAGATAATTTCTGCAGCCTTTAATAATCCATTAGATTGAGAAGATTTGGTGAACTGTGTGCCCAGAACCCTTCACCCTATTGCTAATGTAACCCTTTTTGTTTAGCATGTGTATGCACACACCTTTTCTGTGTTTTTCTTTTTTGAATGTAGTTGTTGGGGTTTGAGAGGTGGTGCATGGTAGTTATGTTTTTTTTTTTGGTCGGGATTTGAGGTTGGTGCTTGGAAGTTGGCAATTGTAATAAATTTGTGATTAAAGCTATTTTGAAGAAAAAGAAAAGAGTATGTGTTTGCTTGGAGGAAAAGTGAGAGCAATGAAGAATAGGAAAAGGTAAAATATGAGTGACTACAACAATAGAAGATGAACATTGGCAAGGATAAAAAGAAAAGAACTAAATGTGAATAGGATGAAAAAACATGGTATTAGGAAATATTAAAGTGGTTTTTTACTTTGGCACTGATATTCTTTTCATGAAAATTCTGTGGCTAGCATGCCAAATTAATACTCTATTATTGATGGTTCGTTTTGTTGATTACGTGATATAATCTGAACCAATACTTAATCATCTATAGTTTCATCAAAAATGAACATGGAAAATGTATATAATACATGTCACCCAGGTATTCCAGGCTTCATATATGGCGTGTGTGCTATATTGAATCAAACTTGCATGAAAGATCTTAGATTTCTTTGTCAATCAAAATTGATTTCCCCAGAGGCTATTGAGACCCCCAACAATTTGTTGAAGAAGACTAACCCCTTAGCTACTATGTACTCATTCAATCAATGGTGCAGCTTGTCTCCATCCAAGTTGCATCATTAAGAACTCATATTTCATGCAACAGTGTGTTTGCCTTGGGGAAATGTTCAGGTCAGTTGTCCAGGTGAACTTATTAGGATATGGTGCTACTTTGATCTCAATTTCTTCTTTTTTCTCTGCTAGGACAAACTGGATGTAATAGTCTTTTTGTAGGACATGTATTCCTTGCTTTAATGGCGGTTGGTATAGTTTGATGGATAAAATTGAAGTTTTTCCAGGAACCCTCGAATATCTGACTTTTTTTCTTACAAGCTTAGCTGAACGGTCCATTATCCACCCTATTTTCTCGATACACTATAATATTTAATATGTTGTAACGCCTGCAATATGCAACTTGTTTAAGAAAAAAAACTTAATTCTTGCTCTTAATTTACGCATACTTAAGGTTTTATTGTTATTTTCCCTGCAGGTTGCGAATCTAAGGCAAAGGTTTTTTCATTCTATTGCTCCTGGCGGGCTTGCTGGAGACAGACGAGGTGTTATTCCTGCATCGGGATTTTCCTTTAGTGCACAACAAATTTGGAAAGTTATAAAAGAGAACAAGGATCTTGATTTACCCGCCCACAAGGTGATGTATTGTTTTTTTGTTAGTTTATAACTTGTGAGTGTTTTTTTTTTGCTTTGATATAGCAATATTTAATTATGTTGTTGTCCTAGTGTAGGTTATGGTTGCCACTGTTCGCTGTGAAGAAATTGCAAATGAGAAAATTGCTTCTTTTGCTGATAATGAGGTAATTGACTAAGAATTTCTCTCTATTTAGTTTCTAGTATGTGGAATGTTTTTGGCATCACTATTCATTTGAGTATTATGATAGGAGTGGCGTCACCTTGAAGAGGCTGTGCAAAATGGCGTTGTTCCAGGTTTTGGGAAGAAGCTCAGCTCTATATTGGAGAATTGTTTGATCGGGTAAGGATTCTTAGTTTTATCAATGTGAAAAATATCTTTTGTTGCTTATCATTGATTGCTAATAAGAAAAATTTAGTGAATATCATCACATATGTTTCTTTTTTCTTGATTTAAGATTTAGCTTATATTTAGGTTATTATTGACAAATTAACGGATAAATTTAATGATAACTACCTTTTAAATCTTTACAAGGGTTAATGCTTCTCGTATGTAGGGTTGCTATTTTATAAAATGTTGATCTTCATTTTAAAAAGTGATTAGATTTGAATGAAGTATGCTGGTTTATGCTCTTGAAAATTTAAAAACATTTCAAGTAACTTATTTTGCCAGTATAAGGACAAACACAATCTTTGAGCTATCTATGAATATTTCTCTTGCTCCCTCCCCTTCAACTTACTGAAATTTATCTTTTTAAAATTTGGTAATATGCATGTCTACATTTGTGTTTATTTTGTGACATAGTTTTAGCCAATTGTTATAAAATATTGGTAGGTCAAAGGGGATTTGACTAGATATAAACATTGCGTGATGGTTTTAGAACGTAAGATTGAAAAAAATTGTACGGGAGCCATTAATATAAATTAATTTGAAAGTCTTTTGAAAAATTTTATGTATTATTTAGTAATTCTGTGTTTAAGGATGATTAAGAATGTATTTATGGTTGGTGGCTATCTTCAGTTGAGTTCCTTCTAAAAAATTCAAGAAAATAAATACGAATGATATCTTTTGGTATTGGACATTTATACTCAAGAATGACTAATCAGGATATCTCGCCCACAACTACTATTATTTTATCTTTTTTGATTGAAGAGTTTGAAAAAAAAACTTCTTCCTGATTTGCTGTTTTGCTTGCTTGCATATTATGATTTCCATTACAACAATTTCATAATTGAACTAAAAATTTGATTTGTATTACAGTTATGATATGGAAGCTGTATATTTTGATGATAGTGTTAGAACCTCAAAGAGACGACAATTAGAATCAAAACTTCTTCAGGTACTATCACAAAAATATTGTTTGAAAGCATATTTGGTCATGTTGTTACTGAAAAATCTTTGTTTTAGAAAATGTTATGCAAGTTCTGCAAATTGTAATGTATGATCTAAGTTGGCATTCTTAATTATTATATAATGCCTTTTAAGTTTTATAACTGCAGTTTGTTCAACCTGCTTATCATTCCATGTTGGGGCACCTAAGATCCAAAACTTTAGAAGATTTTAAAGCTAGATTTGAGAAGGCTCTGGAAAGTGGGGAAGGATTTGCGACTGCTGCTAATGATTGCACTCAGTCTCTCATGTCTGCATTCAATGAAGGCTGCAAAGGTAGCTAGTTAGAAATTTTAATTAGATTTCTTGAGCTATTCTTTATCACAATGATTTGTCTTGTTGAATGAATGGATGCAACATGTTTATGTTTTATTTTTCCTCCATTTTTGGAAGCATTCTATTTATGGAGATTTTATCTCAATGCATTCTTGGTATAGTAGGTGTGATTAAGCTAGTGTTATGGTTCGTAGTTGGGTAATTGCTTCTTTTCAAATCCTTTAAAAGGGCATGCATGTATTGGCATGTATAGTCTTGTTCTCCAGATAGGAATGGTAGTTCAAGTTGTTTATGTGAGGGCTTTTTTTTCATAGATGCGAAGATACTACAATTTGTCAAGCATCACACTTATATAATGATTGGCAAAATATATATTAAATTTTCTTTTAGGCGATAGTTGGAGGCTTTTCTATAGTTTTTTTAAACTAGTTCTTTTATTTTCTTAGTAATTCTTGTTTAGCTTACTTATGATTGAAAATTGAAGAATGCTGATGTGGATCAAATGCTTAAATACAGATGCAGAGATTGAACAAGCATCGTGGGACTCTTCAAAAGCACGGGAAAAACTTCGACGTGATATAGATGCATATATTGCTTCAGTTCGCAAGGCAAAATTATTTGAACTCACATCCTTGTATGAGGTATGATATAGCTATAATAAAATTTTTAATTGTAGTAGGAGAATAAATATCTTATTCATTGTAATTTAATCAATGGGGTTATGATCATCTTGATGAGCTTCTGCTTATTAAAAAATGTGTTTATTGCTGTCTTATATTTCACATACAGGAAAAACTTAATAAGGCACTTTCAGAGCCTGTGGAAGCTCTTCTAGATTCTGCCAGTGATGATACGTGGCCATCAATTAGAAGTCTTCTTCAGCGGGAGACAAAGGCTGCTTTATCTAATTTTGCTTTAGCCCTTTCTTCATTTGATATTGATCAGACAACTATCGAAAAATTGCTTACAAAATTAGAGGAATATGCTAGAAGTGTTGTTGAATCTAAGGCAAGGGAAGAAGCTGGGAGAGTCTTGATGCATATGAAGGATAGGTGATGATTATTTTCTTTAAGTCTTACTTGTGAAAGGTCCCATGTATTTAATTTGTTTAATTGTATGAATCATGTTTACAGGTTTTCAACATTGTTTAGCCGTGATTCTGATTCAATGCCAAGATTGTGGACAGGAAAAGAAGACATAAAAGCAATCACCAAAATGGCTCGTTCAGCAGTATGTGTCCTGATTTTGTATTCTTTTTTTTATGTCACAAGTTGATGCTTATAGATTACAATTAATTCTTAATTGTATATCAAATTGTTTTATTTTTTGCAGTCTTTGAAGTTATTGTCTGTTATTGCTGCAATTCGCTTAGAAGGGGACAAGGATAGTGTTGAGAACACCCTTCAACTTGCTTTGGTGGATGTTCCTAATAGTTCAACTTCAAATAGGAACATTCAGCCATTGGACCCATTGGCTTCTAATACATGGGAAGATGTATGACTTCATATCATTTTCTTTGTATATAATTTACTTGGTTCTTTACTGATTCACTTAGTAAGAATTTTATTTCCCGTACATGGAAGTTTTTTATGAACATGTTTCATCTTTTCATCATTTAGTTTCTAGAGCATTTGCATGATACTTCAGTTTTGCTCTTCTGCTTGTGCAAGCTATTTGTAGCTTTGTGAACTAGATCTATCTTCTTCCAAAGGTATTTGGTTGCTTTGTATTTTAGACTTTTGATTGTATGAGCGAGATTTCTTTGTTCACTTTGCCTTGCTTACTTTTGTTACGTGATAGCGAGCATAGGTTGTTCTTGTTGTTTGCTATGTGGTCACTTTTACTTTGTCTAATCATTCGGTAATCAAATGAAAATGCATTGCTGCAAAAGAAAATGTGTACGTCAGCAGATCTCATACTGATTCAGTGTCCAGCGGTCTTACTCCTTTTGTCCATGAATATACTTAAATTGTATAATATATCATTTATGTAAACTGTCTATTTATTCAATTCATGGTTGTATTCACTTGATATCCCTATATTTGCTTTTTAGGTTCCATCAACGAGAACATTAATTACGCCAGTTCAGTGCAAGTCATTGTGGAGACAGTTCAAGGCAGAAACAGAGTATACTGTGACACAGGCTATTGCTGCTCAGGCATGTTTTTGAACCTCAACTTTTCTTGCCGCTTTCTTTCCACTGATATCTTTATGAAAAATAAAAATATAGCCATTGGAGTACTCTGCCTTAATGTTTAATATGTGCGTTGAATGAGAGCTATTTTTTATGTGACGTATCTTATCCTTGCCTTCTGTTCAGTTTGGCCCTCTCCTTAACCTATTTTTTTAATAACGGTGCGTATCATTTGTCTGAAACTTAAATAGATAGAAAAAAGACTATTGGAATATCAATTGTATGTTGCTTTTTTAAAATCATCTAGTTCCTGGGCAATTACTTGCTGAACTTTTTTTACGAAACCCCTAGTATTCCATTTTGTGGCACCTGAAAAGGCTGAGGGCAACACGACCTCTAGTGTTCATTGGTGTTAGTATAAGAAAAAAAATAATGTTAGGTTCTTTTAATATAAACTTTACGAGGGTGAGTTTAAAAATTATTGAAATTTTTTTTGAGATTAGTCTTAGCTATAGAGTACGTTTTGTATTAATCTCTTAGTAAATTCAGTTATTTTTAAACATATTTTGGCACAATTTATATTAGAATATCTTAACATTTTTTTAAGAGTATAGATGCCTACATGTTTCTTCTTCAGAATGTTGTTTCTATTCATAATTTCTCAAAAGGCACATTAGAGAGTTTCTATCAGATTAGTCACTGTTTATTCTGTCAGTTAATATGGACAGTTTTTTGCAATGCAATTATAAATTGCAATCAATTTCTACTTTAATTTGGCATATTTTTAAAAAAAATCCACACCTTTTACTGCAATGCAACATCTTTTATGCCTAAATATTCATACTTATTTCAGGAAGCTAACAAGAGGAACAATAACTGGCTGCCTCCTCCTTGGGCCATTGCTGCTATGCTTATTTTAGGATTCAATGAATTTATGACACTTCTAAGGTAAATTTTTTGAAGGTCTGCTATGAATTATGATTGACAATCTTATCACTTTCTATTACATTTAACAAAATATTATGTTCATGTTCCTCCTATTAGAAATCCTTTGTATCTTGGGGTCATCTTTGTTGCATTTCTTCTGGGCAAGGCCCTTTGGGTCCAGCTTGACGTCTCAGGCGAATTTCGAAATGGAGCTGTGAGTTATTTAGATAATTGAAATGTTAATGATTTCTTTTTAATCTGAGTGCATCCTACTATTTTTCTATTAATAAATTTTTATCATATGCTTAATGATACAGCTTCCTGGGATTCTTTCATTATCCACAAAGTTTCTTCCAACCGTCATGAATCTCCTCAAGAAATTAGCAGACGAGGGACAAAGACCTACAGCTTCAAATACCCGAAGGAATCCGGAGCTTGATTCAAAGAGTTTCCCAAATGATGTAAATAGTACTTCGACATCATCAGCTGCATCAACTAATGAAACTTCTTCAAACAGTACAGCTGCATCATCTAATGTAACTTCTTCAGACAATGGTGTTGAATACACGAGCCCAATAAAACAGCGGTAGGAGTGAGTAACTTGTGCTGCTATTAGAGTATATTCTCATTGGTCATTTATTACGTGATTTTGCTTCTCTTAAGTCATTAGAAAGAGCATTGCCTACTTTCCCAGAGAGATCTTCAAGCTGCTTAAAGCACTTGCTGGAACTGATCAGATTCAAAGTGTTACATCACGTAATAGTTGTGAAGGTTCTTCCTTTTTTTTAGGTGAGTATTTTTAGCGTTGGTTGTGCTTGCTAGGCCAAAGTTGTATTGGTTTGTTGATCTTGTTGTAAGGAGGTTTGATTTTTATCGGATGTTGTAAGCTTGGGCTTATTCACATTATTCCTGTCTACCTATAAATTTGTGCACTTGTCACATATTTTTGGTTTTCATAGAAAGGTTTGAAGCTCTTCATACTTATCTGTTGGAATGAGTCATCTTTGTAACGAAGGAACTTTATGCATTTGAGTTAGTAATTAATGAGTTTCATATGTTTTAAAAATTTTGAAAAGAGCAGTGAATCTAGCATTTTCTTTCTACATTTGATTTATGAGAATTAAATAGCTATGATAATTCATTGTGCAGGTTAAACGGCCCCATGACTTTCTTAATGAAATTAGCTACCAATTCTTGGTTTTTGCATTAACACTATATATGACAATGCTTGATGAAAATATTGTTGTACAAAATATCACTTTGCCTTTTATTCTTTCCTCTTTTTTTTTTTTCTCTTCTCTTAGTTGGTATTGATTTTATTTTATTTTATTTTTGTTTTTGCTTCTCTTACTTGGTGTTGATTCTCTTAGTGAAGTTATTAAGGATAAAGATTAAAAAGTGCTTTTATTAAAAGAGGATATTCAACAAAGATGAGATATTTAGCTAAACTTTTTAATGAAAATTATGAGAGAGTGGTTGACTTTAAATGAAAATAAAGTTTTTTATTTTTATTGTTGTATTAATAGTCAAAGTTAAAGAGGTTTTAAGGAAAAAAAAGTGTGGAAAAGTTGTTGAACTTGTTGATATTCCAATAGAGGTGTAGAAACTCTTAGGAGATAAAGAAATATTTTGGCTTTCTAATTTTTTTAATATTATTTTGAAGACAAAAAATGATGCCAGATGATATGAGAATGAGTGTGTTGATTCTTATTTTTAAGAATAAAGGTTATGCATAATATTGTCTGAATTATATAGGAATTAAGTTAATGTATCATATTTTAAAATTATGGAAGAGAGATATATATCATAGGTTGTGGCATGACGTTAATGTTTCTCAAAATCAAATTGGATTCAAGTGAGGTAGGTTTACTATAAAAGCTATATATTCTATGAAGATTTGTTTTATATATATATATATATATATATATATATAAAGGCATCAATTTGTTAATGCAAAAATTTTTTAGAAGTGAAAACTTACATAGCCTGGCCAAGTTTTAACTTATTGTACTCGTGCATTTTGTCTTATTATTTTTTTAAACATAATATAGAGATTTTATTTTATCAAATAAAGAAGGATACAATCAAACAAAACAAGAACAAAGTAGGATTACACGACCAAAGTTAGAAATGAAGAGAAAGCAAATAGTGACGAAGGCGATGAAGCTAGCCAGGCTCAGTAATTGCCAAAAGCTCCCAGACGCTAGACTCGGACCATCCAGAGGAAACAAGCAACAATCCACAAAGAAGAAAGACAAGCAAAAGAGCCACGAATAGTAGCCAACAAATCATAGCTATCCAGGTGGTGAACAAAAAGTCGCCACATTGTTGCCCACAAAAGAATGATACAACTGCAAAGACCAACACCACAATCTAACCAATTAAAAGCCAACCACATCCACAAAAGCTGTCATCAAAGTGACACACATCAACCAATAATGAAGCAAAAGGTCCTAAACGATAGTAGAACAATCAAAATTAGTTCCTTTTGGGTTTACGTCATCGTCGTTTCCCACCTCTATGGGAGAAGGCCTTTTCACAATGCCATTCACAACAAATTTAAGAAAGCATTAAACTCATTGGCTCCCACTAGCTCATCCCCCACACCCTCACCAATTGAGGATAAGTGCTCATCAAGTCAATCAGATTGGATCACACTAGAATCATGAAAAGACAAATCCAACTGGGCTTTCAAATCCTCATTAAAAATAATAGAAACAGGGATATCAACCATTCCTTCAGAAATTAACAAGGAAGAAGTGGGAATAACATGTCCAACAACGTCATCAGGCATTCCACTAAAAGAATCATTATCCACAGTGGTGTTAACACAACACTTCATGTTAACCATCTCCATATTAAAAGAGACAATTGTTGACCTTGTTTTTTTATGAGGTCACAACCGAATCATATAAGTCCCATTTAGGATCCAACTCAATCCATCCTAAATATCATTAGGATCTAATTGAGCCCAAACCTAGGATTTGGCTTGACCTGGTTGACAAAGTCAACCATAGTTGACCAAGTCAACCATAATTGACCAAATTAACCCTTAATGCAACATATGGTCAAATCCAATGTTTGAACCCATTCCAAACCATATCAACCCCCCAAAATACACTGCAAACACTTCTAACTCATTCCTAAGTCAAGTCCCTATGAATTTGACTTAGTCAAAATTTCATACATGGTCAAACTTCTCTAAACTTTCTAAAATCTGTCCTAGCTTCAACACCATGGCTCCATACTTCTTAGATTGAATCCTACATCACCCTTGACTCCCTCCATCAATTTTATAAATGATGGCATATGTCCGCATTAAGGGCGTGCATCTGACTTATAGGTGATGGTGTGTAGCAAAATTATTGGCAAAAATGGGCTATGAAATTGGCCAACTTTGGCATTATTGTCAATGATGGCGATAAAGTCATCATGAGATTGTAATTAGATGATGACAATTAGGTGATAGTGGTGGGGGAATCTTAGTTGGGTGATGATGGTCAAAGAACTATAATTATGCAATGGTCAGGAGACAATAGTCTAGCAATAATTGTTGGATGATGATGGTTAGGTAATGGTGATTGGAAGACTATAGTCAAGTAATGGCGATGAATATGCTATAATTGGGTTACAACAGTCAAACAATAATGGTCGGACAATAGTGGTCAAAAGAACTAGTCGTATGAAAGTGATTAGGATATGGTAGCAACACAATAGTGGTTAAATGAGTATTGCAGCACAGTACTAGTCATGTGACACTGGTTGAACAATGACGATTGGGTGACATTGGTCGACATAGCTTAGTTTGATGACTATAGTCAAGCGATGATGAGTGTTAATGATGGTTGTCATCATTAATCATCCAATAGAGCAAGCTTTCTCTAACTCCAAACCCAAGTTTAACTTAAACCTCGGCTCCCCATTTTCATGTGAAAAATGGGAGTTTATCTATGGGTTTTTATAGTAATAAGTAACTTAGCCAAAAAAAAAAAATCTCTATCTTATAACTCATTGATTGATTTCTTCGATGATATACAATTTATTTAGTATTTGAATGCTTCAATTATCTCAAAATTAAATAATCTTAGGTTTATTAGATTTCTCTCATTAGACACTCGATTTGACTGTAAGCAAGTAAAAAATTTGGGATCATTCAATCATTCAATTACTTTATTTAAAATTTAAATCGTACTTCGAGTACTTGATGTGGCCTCATTTGGACTTAAACATGATATTTTTTTTATTTTTTTAATTTTATAACAATTATAGCATACTTTTATTGGTTTTGCACATTGACTAATTGTGATTAATAATGATTGAGGTAAAAACAACACCACCAATTGAAAAGTTGGTTGTGCACCAAGCTAACAAAAAAGCAGAGCTGTTAAGTGATGCAGATTAGAAAGGTTGCGTTCTTTGGGAATGCAATATATATATATATATTATAAAGCTTTGGCTGCATTAGGTTTCATGTGGGATAATTTTCTTATTCCTTTTTTAAATAGCTTTTCAGTAAAAAAAATACCAAAAATTTGCTTTAAAAAAGTGTATGAAAGCTGTGACAAACGAAATTTATTTACTAGCTACTATATTTATTTTTCAACTCTGTTTTATTCTATTTCCCTACAAAAAAATTTGTTTAAAAAAACAAATTTTTTAAATAGACTTAATAATAAACAAAGCTATAAAATTGCCAACGCAACTCTTACATCACAATACCTATTGCATAAGATTTTCTTTTTCTTTGGGAAAAAAAAAAGAAATTGATTGCTTAGAGGACTTTACCTCTCAATCACATCATTGATTCGCGTAGCTTTCCATCTTCCTCTTCTTTTTAAAACTTGATGGAAGCGATTGCATCTTATTTGGTTTATTTTTGTTTCCGGCTTACAAAGCAACAATGGGCCGCTGAAGAAGAAGAATCACGTTCTCTGTAACTTTTTGTTCTTCTTCTCTTCAAACCATTCACATCCCCTCTTCTTCCTTCTTATTCTCCAATCCAAACCTGCATTTTATTTTGTGCTTCTAAGAGCTTCTTGCTGCCATCCTTTGCTTTGACTTCATAACATAAAGCCGTCGAGGTATGTTACGCCTGCTTTCATTCTTTTTTTATATTTATTGTTTGTTTATTTTATTTTATTCTTAAAGTATCTTTTGTTCTATAAATCTTTCTTTATAAATTTATTTATATATCTTTCTCCTTAATGCAAGCCTTAAGCAATTATCTTCTCGGATTCCATCTCTTTGTATCTAGCTTTGTATTCCTATCTATCTCTTACTACCTTTGGATTCCTACACAGATGAAAATGAGCTTCTCTAAAATGAACAATAACAACATCTCTTATCATATTGAAACCAACGATATTGACCTCACTGATGACTTGCTGATAGAAATTCTCACCAAGCTACCACTGAAGTGCATCTACCGCTACAAATGTGTATCAAGGTCATGGTGACGGCTTATTGCAGACCGTTATGTCGTCTCAAGGCTCCCATTAATCCTCTCCGGCGTGTTCTACTGCAGCGGTCCCGGAGATCTCAAGCTTGAACCCAGATATGGATGCAACTCTAATGGTAGTTTCCATGAAACAAACTTTAGCTACCTCCCATTTTACCACAACTCCAGCATCATAAATTGCAGCAATGGTCTTCTCCTCTTTTACAGAAGCATTCCCTCTGCTTTTCATGTATGCAATCCTACCACAAAAACATGGGCATCTCTACCCAAGCCAAGGGGTAAGAGCCAGCTCTCAATATTAGCTTTTGATGCGTACAAATCACCATATTACAAGGTGGTTTGCTTCAGTGGGTGGGAAGCACAAGGAGGCCAGCTTGAAGTCTTCTCGTCGTTGGTCGAACACAGCTTGAATTGGGGAGTTGATACCAACAACTTGTCAGCTTTGATGAATTACTTTAATGGTGTTCTATATGTTCTTACTCTTCCTGGACATGTTGCTTGCATTGATCTAGAAAAGATGCGTTGTAGCGTAATTGAGTTGCCTGAGAACATGAAAAATGACTCTTCTTTAGGAAATTCTGGTGGGTTTCTCCACTGCGCAGTAAGTGACGCAATTGAATTGAGGATTTGGGTTTTAAAAGGAATGAAATGGGTGTTGAAGAACAGAGTAAGTGTTTCAGGGATTTTAAAATGGAATGGTGACTGCAGAGATATGTCTTCTACTGCTTTTTTGCATCACGGGTAATTTAATTTCTTGGCTTTTCATCCAAAGGAGGATGTGGTTTTCCTATGGGTTATGGGCAAGTTGATGTTTTATGATCTTTGTAAAAAGAGATTTGATTTGGTTTGTGAGCTGGGAACAGAGAAGGAGAGGGTTCAAGTGATTCAGATTTGGCTATTTCCATATTCGGATAACCTTTCAAATTGTTTGGCTTGATGGGAATTCAGTTTCAGTAATAGTTCTCTATGTTCTATAGTTTAGTTTGTGGCAACTAAAGGAGAAATTATTCTGTGCGGACACCGGTCACTGCTCTATGTTCGGATGCCGCGATACCGAGCCGCAGTATCGAGCCGTGATACAGTAAAAGGGTGATGTGGCACATTCTGATTGGTCTCCGGACGACCTCCGGCCTTTGCACAGAATAGTTTTTCCAATAAGGATGTATAGATTCTATAGAAATTTGATAAGGACATGTGATTTGAATTTTGTACAGTTGTATTATTTTATAGAAATTTAAGATATACTTCTATTAATGAAACTTCCATTTTGAATATTCCATTATAAATCTTAAATTAAATTGATTAGAATTTATGAGAGAAAATGCTTTGCTGCATAACCAAAAAACTCCAAATAAGAAGTCCAAGAAGAACGAAAAATTAGAGGCTTTCGTTTGTCATTTGAAGACTTGTTCCTTATAAAAGTGGCTGATGGGAGGAAAAGGTAGAGGTACTAAGTCGGCACAGAACTTGCAAGCATGTCGATTGAGGCCGCAATTCAATCCATTCATTGCTTCACTATGTATGCAAGTAGCCATTTATTATATTACTTGGCTTCTACTTCTGTCCTGCAGCAGTGCTTCAAGGTTAGAATAAATTATTCTGTGTGGTGTTTGGACTGGAAGACTAGTTCAGATATATGAGTGTGCATATTTTGTATACATACAGTTGTGTGGGTCCCGATGGAAAGAACTTTCCGGACATGTCACTATACATATTGTATACACATAGTTGTCAGAGTCCGGCCGGGAAGAACCATCAGGACATATAAGTGTATACATTATGTATAAATTTATACACAGTGTGTATCAAATAAATCTGAATGATTTTTTCCGTCGGATGTCCGCACATAATAATTTCTCCATTTTTTTATTTCGCTTGCACTATTTTTCCCACCACCGCCTCTTCATTCTTGTGCTTATCGACGAAGGAACGCCACCTAATGTGTTTCTGGCACTTATATGGCACGCCGGTGGGTTTTAGCCTGACTCTCTTCGCATTGCGGATGCTAACAAATAATCAAGTGGAATCCACATATGCACTTTTGGAGGCCTGATTCTTCTACTTTGGCTCATTCATGGGGGAGAGTTTCATTTTTTTTTTGGGAAAATAAAATTTTGTTTTTTTTTTTTTTTGAGAAAATTTTGGGCAAAGCCCTTTCCATTATAAAATGAGATAGTTACATGTAAGTAAAAGCAGTGAAGTAAATCCTCTACCCAAAGCAAAGGACCAGGATTAGGGAATAAAAACAAAACTCCCCAAAGTACACATCAACAAGACTAAGAGAAACTAATAGAAAAAGAAGACAAACAAAATCATAAGCAATGGGTTCAAATAGAACCCAAGGGCTCAGGAATTGCCGCTCTCTCTACCTGGTTGCAAAATAAACTGCTCAAAAATTCTGCCCTCCAAAGGAGAAAATGTCAATTCTGTCATCCTCACCCAGCAAATCGACAGCCCAAAACTGCAGAAAATAAGCCCCAAAACTGCAGTACAACCAACAAAAATCAAACCAGCCCAGGTACAAAACAAAGCCAGAAAAATTCAAAGCAGCTCCATGAGATTGTCCCTCATTTTCCATTTTAAAATCTTGGCAAATACAACAGCTTTAGTTTTATGGACTAAAGTGGTAGTAGAGGCCACATTAGTACCGAACTTTCTTTCATTTCTTTCTCTCCATATATGATAAACCGCACAACATATAATCAAGCAGTAGAAATACTTCTCCTTTTTATACTTCTCGTCAATAAACTCAAAAATCTGCAAGATGGACGGTCTAGAAAGCAGTTCTCCCATGTTTTTCAGTAGAGCCTTTAGCATAATAAAAGAATAGTCACACTCAAAAAATAAATGACTAACCGTCTCCAAACTAGTGTGACAGAGAGGGCAATTAAGATTCACAGTCATGCCCCAAGAGGACAGAATGTCAGCAGTTTTTAATCCATCAGAGAGGGCCATCTAGCAAAAGGAGGAAAATCTTATAACATAATGCTTATGCCACACGAAATGCCACCAGTTTACCTTAATGAAGTTTTTATAAAAAAAATCTTTATATTCTCTTTGCTTACAATTCTTACCAGTACCTCAAAATAGAGTGTTTTGGTTATCTAACAGCACAGGAATTTCAATAAAAGCTTGGTGAACAGAAACAGGTAAATAATCAGGCAACACCCAGCCCGAATTATTAAGAATTGCCTTTATACTTTCATTCACAGGAAAAGAGGAAAGGATGGGCAGAACTTCCTCTATATCTTTTAAACACTTATCCCTAAACCAATGATCCCAATAAAGAGCAAATTTAGAGTGCACAGAAACTCTAAAGTGAAAATTTTCTTTGGCATTACTGGCATCCTTACAGATACTTTTCCAGAACTTAGAGGCCTTAGTGCCTGGATCCTTCCAAGGCGAAATGTAAGCATTAAATAACCAGATGGCAAGGGGACTAGAAAAATTGTAAATTCTAGTAATAAGAGAACAGTTGAACCCAAATTGAAGTGAGAGAAGGGAGGGTAAGCCTAGACCCCCCATAGTTTTAGGCTTACATGTATTTTTCCAGGAGATTAAATGCATTTTCTTGCCATTAGAATCACCGAAATAAAGAAATTTAGCACATACCCTATCTATTTGTTTAAGAATAGATTTAGGTATAATGCCCCCCCATATCCAATAAGCAATCGTATTCCATATAGTATATCTCAAAAATTGCAATCTGCCTGCAAACGATAAAGACTTAGCCTTCCAGCCCGATACCTTTTTAATAACACCTTCTAAAAGCTTCGAGAAACAAGCCAGCTTTGGATTGTAGGGGGAAATGGGGACTCCCAGGTAGATCATAGAAGAGGAAGGAGTAGTGATATTAAGTGTAGAGCATATTTCCTCAGCATTAGCACAGATAGTGGGCAGTATAATAGAGCTTTTTTTAAAATTCACCTTGAGACCTGTGGCATAGGAGAAAGTGTATAGAATATGATTAAGAGCTTCAGAATTACAGGTATCAGCCTTCCCAAAAATAATTAAATCATCAGCATACATAAGGTGGGAGAGCCTATAATCTCCAATCGAAAGAGATTCAAATCTGAAAGTGGAGAGATTACAGTCAAGAAGACACGATAAAGCATCCATGACAATACTAAATAGGTATGGACTCAGTGGACAGCCCTGTCTCAGTCCAGTGGTTGAGGAGAAGAAACCTTCAAGAGTCCCATCTACACACAAGGAGAACCACACATCCATAATGCAAGCATCAATCCATCTAACAAAGGATACAGGAAAACCCTTTTGCATCATCCTGGCCAAGAGGAATTCTCTAGATACACTATCAAATGCTTTTTTGATATCAAGCTTCACACACATAAGCTTAAATTTGGAGAATTTCCTATAAAATTGAAGGATTTCATTTACAAGTATGACATTATCAGTAGAGATCCTATTATGAATGAAACCAGCTTGATTTTCTTTCATGATAAGCGGCATAATAGGTTTCATCCTGCAAGCAAGAACTTTGGCAATAATTTTGTAAATAGTGTTACAAAGAGCAATAGGACGGAACTCTGTAATATTCTCAGCATGGCTAGATTTAGGTATGAGAGTAATTGCAGTAGTTTTGGCTGAGCGAGGAATATAAGGATTACAGTAAAAGTACTTTACTGCCAAGCAAACCGTAGGACCACATACCACCCAAGTGGACTTAAAGAATTCAAAGTTAAACCCATCTGGACCTGGAGTAGAATTAGAAGCACCCGAGAAGACAGCTTCTTTTATCTCCTTATCTGTGAAAGGAGAAATCAGATTATCAATATAATCAAGGGGAATAGTATTACCAGTGGGAAAAAGGTTGATATCGAAGTCTAGATTCCGGGGAGTGTTAAAGAGCCTTTGAAAGTGGGAAATGAAGTCGTTGATAGCATCAGGCAAGAAAGAATTTGATTTGGACATAGCCAGAGTGATAGCAATTTTTTTGTAACTTCTTCTCAGACGAATCCTGGCATAAAGGAATTTTAAATCATCCTCACCCTGTGTAAGCCACTTTGATTTTGCTCTTTTTTTAACCCAAGAAAACCACAAGGAGGAGGTAGCAGCTAGCTCTTGATTGATGATTTTTAGTTCTTTAGAAGTTTGTAAGTATTCATCACCAGCCTGCAAGCATTCAAGACAAGAAGCTTGCTTGTTTTGAATGTTCTTAATATTATCAGCCATGATGTTAGAAGAAGCCCAACTTTTCCCCTTAACAGCTTTTTTCAGAAGTTTTAGCTTAGCACAGAGGTCTACCAAAGGATTACCTTTGGTCTTAAAAGCAAAAACCTCAAACATAAGAAACCAGAACTGTTCATAATTGAGCCAATAGTTTTTAAAGAGAAAACGATGCTTAGTGGTAGAGAAAACTCCTGATTTCAGAATAATCGGACAGTGATTTGAACCATCATGATTTTTTACCATATAGTAAGAATCCGGAAAATAGGAGAGCCAATGCTCATTAACCAGCATCCTATCTAACTTTATATGAATAGGACTATCAGTCCTTTTATTGTACCAGGTGAAAGAAGGGCCTATGGATGCCAAATCATTCATATTAGATTCAAAAATAAAGTTATTAAAATCATGGAGCTGATTTTGAAGAAGAACATTTCCTCTTAATTTTTTGGAAGGAAACCTACAACAATTAAAATCTCCCATAACGATCCAAGGTATATCTGCAGCCGGAGAAATGTTTTTTAACTCTTCCCAAAGAATCCTCCTTTCCTCCTGCAGGTTAGAGGCATAAATAATAGAAAGAAGAAAAGGGGGGCTAGAACCATAATAGACCATTCCTGCAATCATTTGAGATGAATAAAAAAGGGGATTAAAAGAAAGTCTGTCTTGACTCCATTTAATCCAGATTCTGCCTGAGTTAGCGCAGTGAAAGTTGTTGCAGCTAGATTCAACATCATAGACCAAGTGACTATTGAAAAAACCCCCATCCGAGAGACTAGCTAGCTGAATTCTGTTTTCCAAGATACAAATCATATCTAAATTTTGGTTTTTTACTAACATTTTGCAGTAGTTCACCTTATTAGAGGCCGAAAACCCTCTAATATTCCAAGCAGCTATGTTTGGACA